TTTAGTTTGAGTGGAACTTTACCGATTGGAAAAATCTTTGCGCTCCAGCCTTTACCTCCGTACCAACGGGAGGGGGAAATGCCGGTGCTGGTCGTCGTTTAGTGTCAACCGGGAAGGCTGGCCTGGCTTCTGGGGAATTTTCTAGCCTGAACCTCGTCCTACGGAGAAGCAGAACTGGCACGTATTACATAAATCAGTCCTTCTAGACTAGGTGATCCTTTATGGGAAAAAAAACCCCCAAACACCCCCCTTTTGTCTGCATAGCCTTTTTTCTCTGCTTCCATAATAATAGTTGACTAACGACTGAGTTAAACATGGGAAACAAAGACCAAACGTACTTAAATTTGCAATGTCGTGCATGTTCTTTGTGCTGACCCGAATGTATGGTGGCTTACAGAGATAAACAAAAGCTTATATCACAAAGAAATAAGCTTGCTGTTAAAATTTGACCATTTACCCTTTTACTCCCTGCACCCCCCCATCCTAAAAGTGAATGGCCTGCTCACCAGGCAACAGAGCATCACCAAGTCACAGAAGAAAGTCGTGAACTATATTTCAATATATTAGGACGGGTGTCATACTTCCACTAACTTGCTTTTGCATCTGGCAGAGTTATGACTTATTTTTCAGGCTGGAATCTTGACGCAAAGTGGGTGGAGAGACATTTGCTGTCACCTCAGAAAGGTCGCCTCGGGTATTCCCTCCAGCCACAACATCTTAGTGTAAATTTAGTATTTAGGAAGTTCTGGCGGTGAGAATACCTGAATGATGTTTTTGAACTGCTTTAATGGATAACCTCATTCATGTTGTCTCAATTTAAGATTCCTCACTGACTTCAGAGAGCAGATCCAAACTACATTTGAAGTAGCCGAAATGACACTTGGAAGTAGTCAACTGGAAATTGATATTTTGTTGTTCTACAGGGCCTGGAGCTAAAAATTTTGAGGATAGCTTAAGAAAAAAAAGTGAAACTCTGATCCCAGGCTCATCTGCCTCTTAGTTCTCCATCCTGGAAAACTTTTGGTTTGCTTCTTAATGTAAGAATTCAGACGTCAGCAGCCTCGAAAGGAGGAATGTGAAGGGCAAAGTTGCGCTGTGCAGCAGAGCGTGTCTAATATCTTGCTCATCAGCACTGAAAGGGACAGCTCTAATCCTGCTTAACTGCTTCCTCTCCTAGTTGTACTTTTCTGCCCCTGTGCTTTGGCTTTTCTGCATTTTTTTCATCGCAGACTTCAGGCTGCTGTTTTTGAAGACTTCCTGCTGGTTTGGGGAGAGAGGGAAGGATGAATTTTCTAATAGTTTGGCCGATTGTATGGGATTGGTGTGGGATCAAGTGATTCCTCCTGGGCAGGAGGAAGGAAGTAACCCATATTCACCTTTTCTCAAATCCTGACTAGGATTCCCCTCTCCCACCAACCTGCCCTTCGGTGGTAGCAAGCCATTAAATGGATTGGAGTCCTGCCATTTAATTTCACCTTAAATAAAAAGGGAATAATGAGAAAAACAAACCTTTTGGACCCTCTGTTGTGATATAGTAAGAACTGGGCTAGTATCTGCAGCTCACTGCTTAAATTGTTTTTGTGGGGTTTAAGCAAAAACCTTTATTTTCTGAATTTTTTTTTTGAAGTTCCAGCTGTAGGACTGGTGAATTAATAGCAAACTCTACTCCTTTTTTGTTAAAATGTCCAAGAAGTGTTCCCCTTGTTGAGGACTTCATAACATTGGAACACAGCATTTTTGAAACTTTAACAGTTAATCTATAATTAAAGAATCTTTTGTGTTTGAATATCATCTGCAATCTTTTTTCATCTTTTAAGACTGTTTTCTTAGCTCATGGCATACAAACACTTGTTATTCTAAGTTGTTGTTTTTTTTTCCCTCACCAGCTTTGTCGCGGAACAAGAGGAAACCATGGTGTGCATTCCTTGTATTGTCATTCCGGTTCTTCTCTGGGTCTACAAGAAATTCCTTGAACCGTATATCTATCCCGTTATCGCACCTTTCATTAAGCGTGTCTGGCCCAAGCAAGCTGTGCAAGAAACAACAGCCAGAAAACAAGGTCAAGGAGGCAGCGCTGGAAATCCACGGGCACCTTCAGCTGTGAAAAGAGATCAAGAGGATGAATCTGGAATTTATAAAGTAAGATTAATGCATTTAGCTAACCAGGGAAACTCCAGATAAAGCATCCAGCAAGAGTTCAGGGTGGGCACCACAAAAGAGCAAATAGTTGGGTGTTTTTACAGGTGTGTTTGCGGTTATTTTCTTAGGAAAGGGAGTTACCCATATGGAGCCAGCTAGAAATAGGTGCTTCAAGACAACTTCTGGTGGGCCTTGGAAAGATAGGAATTGCACCTGTTTTCTGAAACAGCTTAGCTTTGTTTTTATTTTAAATATTGGCTATTCTTTCAGAGAAGAAAGAAGTCAAATAATTGGTACATCCTACCAGATACATGAAGCAGAATTAAAAAAAACCCCATGCTTCAGCCAGCTCTTCCATTCGTAATGCAGGAAAATGTTTAGTGTGTGTAAATTGTGCATATATTACTTATCTCTTCTAACAAAATGCAAAGATTTGTATATGTTGTCTCTGCCTTCGTTCCCCATCTCCCCCCCCCCCGCCCCGAAGCAATAATTATGTGAGACACCACCACTTTGGTTCTCTCTGCAAATTTCTTCGTAGATCTTCACTGGCCTTGCTTCTAAAAGCTGTTTTCATCACCGACTGTTACTGTTCTGGGTGTGAAGTCCTTTTTTGACGTCCCATTAATGAAGCTGTCTTTTATTTGCAGTTTGAAAGCAATGGTGTTGCAAATGGAATTGCCGCAAAGAGATCCACAGAAGTTTCTGACAAGAAAATGGATTAAAGGAATTCATTCATAAGGATTTGGTTCTCTTGTGTCCAATATGAACTGGTGATACTTCTCTCACTTTGAGACTTCTTTTTTCTTTGCACATTTTAGCTGAATGAAAACCCTTGTCACTTACAGGAGAGGGTCTCTCTTGCCACTAAAATGGCAGCTAGCACATTTCTTAATTTAAAATGTTTGAAAACTGAAGTTCTTTATTTTCCTCACTGGAGCTACTTTTCATCTATAACCTATTTGATGTGATTAGGTTAAATAACTTATGAATAAATCTAGCTTTGGAAGGTAAATGTATCTTAGCATCTTAGTTTCACTAACTGCTAGTGCAATACTTCAGGCTTTCACCTTAAAAACTATAGCTGCTCTTGACCTTGCTAAAGAACTATGAATTGCATTGTGGCACCATAAGCGTCATGGTTAAATTACAGAGTTATGCTATATGCAAAATTTACTTAGCTTACTGAAAGCAGAAAAGTCTTGATTTGATGCTTCTGTTCATTATTTTCCTTGAAACATTGTGCCTTTCTTTCCTGAAGAGGAGCAGCAGGGGCATGATACAAGAGAATTGTTGCTCTATATTCTGTTGCAGTGGTTTGAAACGGTGCAGTTCTATCTTTAAAAAAAAAAAAAAATCCCAACTAAAATCTCTTTAATGTGCTTGTGGAATTTGAATTATAATGAACCGGGATTTTATTTAAAAATTAGTTCCTTCATGCAATTGTTCTTAGGCTTCTGAGCTATAAATATCTAAAGTGGTAACAAAATCTTTGAATACCTGTAGACAGGCCCCAGGCAGAAGGAAGTCCTAAAACTACTGATGTCATGATAAAGAAAGGGAACTCGGCAAATCCAGCTTTGCCTCCTCCTGGGAAGATGCATTCTGGTACTGACTTGCATCCCAAGATGATAGTGCTACGGTGAAGCGGTTTAGATGTCCCTGTGCTTACTAAGGAACAGAAGTGAGAATTCCTACTTTGTCCTCTCTGGTTTGGCAGAGAGGCTCTTTAAAAGATTCAAAACAAAACCATTTCAGCAGTTTTGGTTTGCTATTTAGGATTTATCGTTTTCCCAAAAGTCCTACCTAAGGTACGCCTAAAAAAAAGGCAGACCTTTTTCTAGATGCAGTCCTTGAACTGTCACTGAGGTCCAGTCTTGTTCTTTCGACCGTGTTTTCTCCTACCAGATAATTAATTATTCCAAAGACTTGCTTGTTGCCTGCCACATGCTTCTGGTGAGGCGTGTTGTTTCCTACCACTACCTGGTTTTGTCAGATCTTGTGTGAATCCATCTGCAACGTTCACAGCTGGATATCGGGCCCTTGTTGCTACAACCATGACTTCTGTAGTGAGTTGAATCATAGGAAACTCCTTGTAAGGCGTTGCCTGTTTGCTCTCCCTTAATGAGCTAGTCTATTAGGAAGTGAATTTGGTATTGCTGTTTAATCAGCTTTTGCATCATCCTTGGAACATAATCCCCCATCTGATCAGTGTATCGCAGATACAGCTTTCGCCTAGACTGGTGAAGTACCTACCCTTTGTGATATTTAAAACCTGGTTTTATTATTCTGAGCATGCACGCATGATATAATCCATACAATAAAAGATAACAATCCTAACTGTGCCCTCCTATAACTTCTCACAGATATTGGTGTGTAGATCGTGTAGCAGGGAAGACAGGGATTGGAAAGCGGAAGCGAGGGGAAGAGGCCACGCTACTTTCCGATCGTTTTTGTCATTGGTATCTTTGGATATTTTTGCCCATACTGTTGCAACAAATCATACCCTGTCCATCAGAACTTCACCTGGTAAAAGGTGGATGTAATCTTTGCTGTGGTGGATTGGGTCTTCTAAACCAATCAACCCCTACCTCACTCCAAACAATGAATTCCTACCACTACTGTCAAAGTTCATGCTCTAAATCTGAAAGCTGGGAACTTCCAAGGATCTGAAATCACCTTGCAATGAGAAAGGAGTAAACTGCCTGAGAAAGTCACTCCAGAACTGAGGTCATGCACAGCGTCTTTCAAATGGCTATAGAAATGAAGATTCGGTGCAGGCGTGCAGCTGAACGCAACTACGTGTTCTTACGTTGTAAGCATTGCTGAAAAGATTGTCCCTTCCGCTCTGCTTCCTCTCCCAGGGCAGGTAACTGTAGCCACTGTTTTAAAATGTTGGCCTCTCATAAACAGGCCAAAGTTTTGGAGTAATATATTCACCTCCGACAGCTGTGAATGCAACAAAAAGTAGAGGAAGAGCTGTACTGGGGCTCCTTTAATTTGTAAATGTATGCAGTCAATTTATAAAGTGCACATAATTATTTTGAATTATTTAGCATATTATTATACAAGGAAGTGCATCGAACAGTAACATGGAAAATAAACTGTATAGTAAATTAGACGTCAGGGTGAACTAGGCTTCCAGCTGCGTGTTTAAACACCAAGCCTACTAAAAAGATTGCAAAAAGCAAAATAGGCAGATAATGCGAGTAAAATTACACCCTTTGCGCTTTCTGGAATGGTGTTTCAGTACTTTAACTTGCAATTAAACACTAACGTGAAACCTCTACACCACAAAACTATCCTGAATGAGGCACTTCACTGGAAGTCCTGGCGGGAGACTTGTGTTGCAACTCTTCTCTTCCTGTTCTTCTCCAAGAATCGGTCAGTAATCCGATTGAGTTGTGAATAGTAGAAAATCAAGTGAAAGCAAAGGAACTGCCTGAACCTGGGCAGGGGTGCAGGAGATTATCTGCTGGGATGCACAGAGGTGCACAAAGCCTTGTTTAAGAAAAGTAAGTAGACACAAATGTAGGAAATCCTCACATAAGAGAACAATATGTATCAAGTAAATCTAATTTAACTGAGAAAATTTCCATCTGTTTGTTACTTGCCAAAAGCAAGATTCGTGGAAGGGCTTAGGCACCTAATGATGGCAGGTGGACATCTACCAGAATTTTTACTAGTAGGAGCTTCATTTACACTGAAGACTCTTAGAAAATTGTAGAGTAGGCACCATTAGGGACCAAAGTACTTCTGCAAATCTAGACCTAAGATCTTCAGCGTTAAAGCTGTCTGGTTTTATTTAAATACTATTGAGGAAGAATCAAGAAATCAATATTTGAAAATATTTGAAAATTTATCATTCAGATCAAGTAATTTAAAATATTTTTTCTTTACAGGAAGGTCTAAATGTGACATGATACCTTCCATGTGTTGGTTTGCACAGGTAGCTGGATGCCAAGGACTTAAACTTAATTGAAATACACCTTTAAAAATCTGCAAGTATATGCAAAAAAACTTAATTAAAAGTTTTATTCTGGCAATTATTTGGATGGGCCTGATTCTGCAAGCAAAGAAAATTCTGGCAGGTTAAATTGAACGTGATCAGCCCCTAAGGATGTTTTAACTGACACAATGAATTCTGTGCAAAATGATCTTTATTCAGATGTGTTCATAGAACACAGTTAAATTCTATCCACAAAGCTGATCTAATGACAGTAATACAATATGCTGTCATTACCCAAATGTAGCAATCATGCCCCAGCCTTTTGGGAGCCGTCGGGCGTGCTGCTAAGGTTCAATCCTCGGAATCATTCCTTCTTGATTTCTGTACAATGCAGAACATTATTGCTGAAATAACAATCTTTTCAGAGGCTGCAGATAAAGGAAATGAAAAGAAATTGAATTTACACTTAGATTAACTAAATCTGCCTTCAATGTGAACTAATTCTGGTTCATTAAACTGCCTAAGACATGAAAGAAGGGATTATCTTCCTTGCGCAGTTTTCTGATTGTCACCGAACATGCTCGCTGAACCAAATCATATTTTGGGTTTCACAGATTGTCATTATTTTTGCTTTTCAGTGAACCTGACTGCAGTAGTTTAATTGAAATGGTCTAGAAGACCACGTCTGCCACAGTGATTCTCTTGCTTTAGAAATGCTTTGGGATCATAGTGCTGTAGTTTTCTTTCGTCGTTGTGTTTGAAACGTAAATTATTTGAAATGTTGTGACGATGTATTTGTACATAGACAGATGTAGCAATACTTGTCTTTTGCATGAGCATTGTTTTTCAACTCCTTTTTTGTGCACAGAGCCCTACCTCTTTTCTATCCCCTCTGAGTGTTGGCTGTGCACCATTTTTATTGCCATAGCGATCTGATCGAACACTGTATGAACACGAGGCCAAACCCTATGCCAAGATTTTTGCTTTTACGTGGCTTTTACGTGGCTTTTACGGGTTACACTCCACCTTTGTGCTGTTTGCTGGCACAGCCCGGTTACAGGTACGTGTGAGAGCCGGGCTGCATATTGGGTGTCCCTCACCGTGATAACGCCATTATGCCCTGGACTAATTATATTCAGAAGGGCTTCCCTTTCGAAGGAACCATCGGCAGCTACCGATGGCACAAAAAACCACCTCAGAGATGGAGGCTACCAGAGGGACAAGCAATGATTTAAAGGAGCGTGAGGGCAGGACCGTGCCTGGCAGATCCTCCCCTCCCTCAGGCATCCGCTCTTGGTCCCGCTTTCTCGAGTTACCTCATGTCCCACTGACTGAAAAGCCGGGCCGCAGAGGGGAGGAAACCGTAGCA